CGATGCTGTCACACCTGTGCACAGATTCGAGCGAAGAATTCAACAAACTGTGCACCACTTTAGCCAATGATTGCCGGTTATCCGTTCGAAATTGTTGCCTTGGACATTGTCGGTCCTCTGCCTGAAACGTCCCAGGGCCATAAGTATCTCCTGGTCATGGCGGATTACTTTACGCAATGGGTCGAGGCATTCTCTTTGCGCGATATCACTGCTGTTTCGGTCGCTGCAGCTGTCGTTAATGGTTGGATCAGTCGGTTCGGTGCACCTGAACAGCTTCATTCAGATCAAGGGGTCCAATTCGAATCTCGGCTATTTGCGGGTATCTGCCATCTCCTTGGTATCCGGAAGACACGAACCACGCCATATCATCCTTCTGGCGATGGTCTGGTGGAGCGCGTCAACCGCACTCTTCTAGGTCTGCTGCGTGCCCACATTACTCCAACCAGCACGGAGTGGGATGCAACGTTCCCTCTCCTCTTGCTGTCATATCATGCTGCAGTGCACAAGTCCGCTGGATTCAGTCCAGCGCGCCTGCTGTATGGGGCGGATGTCCGGTTACCAGCTGATATTGTGTTCAATTTACCTTCGCCACCTTCCACTGATATGCATACCTATGTCCGTAGTCTCGACACTTCTCTGCGGAATATTCACGTTGAAGCCCGTCATAATGCTGATCTTGCTCATGCGTCTCAAGAACAGTTCTATAACTGTCGCGTTCATGGCGAGCCTTATGTTGTAGGTCAGCAAGTATATCTTCATGATCCAGTTATTCGTGCCTACGAGCACCGTAAATTTCATCGTTTCTGGTCTGGTCCACATACTATTGTGCGTGTTCATGGTCCGACATCATACACGTTATTGCTGAATGGTTCATGGTGAGCCTTATGTTGTAGGTCAGCAAGTATATCTTCATGATCCAGTTATTCGTGCCTAAGAGCACCGTAAATTTCATCGTTTCTGGTCTGGTCCACATACTATTATGCGTGTTCATGGTCCGACATCATACACGTTATTGCTGAATGGAGTTGAACGTACTGTTCACTTCGATCGCTTGACGCCAGTTACTTCATCGTACCCAGTTTCCTTACCGTCGTCTGTCCATGATCTCCCCGACACAGTGAGTTTGTCAGCTAATAACTTTGTTCCTGTTGTGCCACATGATGCCGATGACTCTGTGCCGAGTACGCCTCCAATGTCGCCGTCTGTTGTCATGTCACCTCTACGTCCTCCTGTTGCTACTCCAGTATTAGTGCTTCGATCAGGCCGGATCCGCACTGCTCCTGTGAGATTTGGTGACTATGTTTTGTAGTTAGGTCATTGTATACCCGTAATTTTTTTCTTTTCTCTGAATTATAAATTTAATTGTTTTTGCCCTGCTTGTCAATTATTCACGAGGTCGATAATGGTGAGAGGAGTGGAATTGTGTAGTATAGGCCAATGATTACTTATTATTTCTTACATTTTGTATTTCGTATTTCCTGCTCCTGTCCACGTGACGAATCTCTGGCCTTGTAAGCTGCGCGCATGCCCACGTGTTTCTTGCCCTTTTCTCTCTCTTCCCCTTCATGACAAGTAATCATTAGTTTTACTATCGATATGAACCGTGAGTTGAGTGTCTGATGAAACCAGAGAATAGTCTTGTATTACTATTAGGAAAGGGAATCCTACAGAGTAACTTGGAGAAGCAAAGGCACAGGGAATAATTGAAAAGACCTGGGAAGGGCGACTTCAGAGGTGAGCATGACAGTTACATCAAAGTCAGGAAAGCATTCGTATGCAGTCAAGAATCACTTATCATTCAGTACTAGTTGTCGTCAACTCGTAGGCTATAACACACAACTTTTCATGTTGAACATTTTCGTTCCCCAAATACACAGGAATCATATTTCGAAGTAGTTCAATTTGTGTTTACTATGGTGGCGGGGCATTATATGGCCCGACTTCTGCGAAAATCAAGCTTAGGGTGAAAATCATTTAATTGAGAAAAATTATGTTTTGTAAAAGTTTGTGTCCTGTGTAGGCACGTTCGAGTGCAACGAAGTGAAACCAAAGAAAATCCCGCTTGTTTGACGAAGTAGAAATCATGGCAGGAAGGGTTTCAGCGCTCAGGGAAGTCATAGGGCTGCTGGTAGAATATTCGGCCTTATTCCATAGTACGGTAGGAAACCATCGTGGTGGCGTACTTAGACATGCGCTGTTGGGTTGTTTCCTCACCGAACGACTTCACCTTTACATTTTCAACACCAACGTGTTCTGCATTGATTGGTCACACAAAAGTTGCTCACACCAACGCTGAAGTCACAAATGACGCCTCAGCACCCGAGTCCAGAAACTCGCGACCCTTCGCCGTTCAAGTTCTTCCCTCGACTCGTGCCACTCCGGTGATCAGCCGCACACTTGTTGAGTGTAGACAGCACGATCCAACCTTCTTCTCCATTACTATCTCAGTCGGTTTCTCCTGGCTGTAACCTGCTCCATCCAACACATCATGTATTAGCAGATGGTGCTTCATTTGGCACTCTGAGCCTGACCGACATTCCCTTGCCATATGGCCTTATTTGAAACGGGTCCAGCAGAGTGTCTCTCGCTGCTGAAAAAACTTTCTCCCTTCCTTTGGCAGCGACTTGAGCTGCTTCTCTGTGTCTGCGACCTATATCTATCATGCACTTAGCCTTGCCACTGATCGTTCCACTGGCTTCGTGGCAGTATCACCCTGTCGTCCGTGCGCGATCTGGTAAGACCAACCGTGCTCCTGAACCTGACACAGAGACATCCCGTAGCACTGCCGTTCGACCAGGTCCGCATTGATCCTAGATCACCTGCTTTGCCATTGCTTGCAGCAAAGGGGCCATTTTACCTATAATAATAGTAATAATAATAATAATGTATCGGCGTTATACTTGGTGTCCACCTCGCTATCTTCCGTCATAGCGAGTGTGGGCCACACCTCTACCTCTCGGCAAATACGCACAACGCATTACTGAAAAGACTCCTCTGACCGCTGCTTGCCTGTCAGCAACGTCTTTCCGAGCGAGGGAAGCAACTCTCGCTTTGCTTCCTCGTAGTTATTGCAGCAAATACAGATCCTCTCCACTGTGCTACCCGCTAGCACGATACGCAATCGCAGCAGCCATTCGCTTTCTTCGAACTCGTTCTTGGAACAGATGTCCTCAAACAGGCCGAAATAACGCTCCAGTGGCTGCGTTCCAACATATGAGGGTTTTTTCATCAACGGTTTACGCCCACCGCTGTGACTGGGAGCTTCCGCTGTACCTCCAATCGCACTCTCACTGGCGCCTTCACCGTCACCCTCATATGCCTTGGCGAAGCGCTCGTTAATCTCTTTGAGATTTTGTCAAACTCGGTGCTGAGCGTCTCCTCTTGCTGTCTGGCACTGCGCTCCTCACGCTCCTCGCACTGTCGGAGCCTCTGCTCTACATGTTCCTCCAACTTCTCGCCTTCCAATCCTAACCGAATTCCATTGGCGATGAAGATGGCCTCCAAATTACCTAGTGCCTCTCCCATGCACGCTTCAATACTGGCTTGGTCGCCAAATGTTTTGAACCCTTCTGATTCTCTAAAAGTCAGGAACAAACGAGCACACGGCACGAGGACAACTATTTTCTCTTCAACAGTATATTTCACTTGATCGAATATAATAAACTAACACTAAGATCACCAGCTATTGATAGCATGCAAATGACAGCGTATATCAGAAAAGCATACGCATAAAAAAACATGACATAACAGTGTTTACAGTAAAAACCGCACACAGCGCATATAGCGTATGCCATGCAGCAAACCTCAGCGGTACACCGGAGTCGAGATACAACATTGCAAAGAATACAGTGCCATAGACGCGAAGGCCTTTCCCACTTGAGAACTGGTGGTTTGTAAAACTCCTTCTGCCCCCTCTTCATTTGTTGTTATAATAAGAAGTGAGATACAATCAAGAGTTGCCACAGACATCACATGCCCTTGGACAATACAGAACAAGAACACTTATGTGCACTTACAATACAATAGTACTGTCAACATATGAAGATATTACTTAATTTCAAATTTGGACTTAACGGAGAACATGAAGTTATTAAAGCTGCAGGAAGCCTCAGCCCTTCTTCAAAAATGAAGTTATTACTCACTTTATTGTCCTAACAGCAAAGTTGATACATGAAAGATCCACGGTGGGAAAGAAGAAGGACTGGCATCATCATAAAACTTTGAGAAGAAGAATCCCACAGATCATGTAGAGCGGATTGACAATGTAATTCGAAATGGCATAATTAACAGACAGTTTCCTTCGTAGCTGATCAATAATGTCCTTGAAAGGTGTGCTAAACATACTTTCGTTGTTGAAAAGGAATGTTGACATTATTTGGCAAGTGTCAAACCTTTTGGTCGTGCGATCCTTTGGTTATGGCAAGTAGCATGGGAAAGAACCGTAGACGTAGAGATTCATGCAGTAGTTAAATCCACTCTGTGTGACATTCAATATGGCCGGCGTGGAACCATGACATCCGGGGACAGCCCTAATGTTGCGAAATTCCGTTCGACTATCATTTACGCACGTTGTTGTATTTGGCTCTTGTGTCGTAGAGTCCAGTGTCTGATGTCATAATATATGTAGAGTCCTGTGTCTGATGTCACAATATATGTAGAGTCCAGTGTCTGATGTCATAATATATGTAGAGTCCAGTGTCTGATGTCACAATATATGTAGAGTCCAGTGCCTGATGTCATAATATATGTAGAGTCCAGTGTCTGATGTCATAATATATGTAGGGTCCAGTGGCTGATGTCATAATTATATGGTCTAATCGTAAAAATAAAAGACCTGTTTGGCATGCAAGAATCCGGAGCTTAGGAGCCTAGGTTATTTCTGAAAACAAGGTCATGATTCGGCCTTTTAGATTAGAACTACGATATCCCAGACTCGGTGTTTTGTGCACTACCCGGAACTAAGCAAGAACAACATTGTCTTTGTGCTGTGTCGTTTGTAGATATTTGGAGAGAAATCAGATCCAGACTTTAAGTGACGGTGTGTTCCCTGGTCTAACAAACCTCCAAGAACTGTAAGTATGATCAACTGCACCACTGAACGCAGGGAACAGTATTTATAACTGTGTGTATATAGAGTACTGCTGGATACGTGATGAACAAACCTCGATTATCTCGGAGTATTATTATCTGCTGCACTGATTGAAGGAAACAGTTGTAGACGCTGTGTGTGAAATGCTTTGTTATGAAGCCTCTGATTCTCGTAAGTGTCAGGAACGAAAGAGCACATGGCACGAGGACAACTGCTTTTTCTTAACGGTATACTTCACTTGATCGAACATAATAACTCAGTCTAAGACGACCAGATATGTAAAGCATGCAAATGAGAGTGTATACAGTAAATCGAACACAGCGCATATAACGTATACCATGCATGATGTATCAGCGATATGGCGGAGTCGAAATACTTGGAGAAGTGTGGGAGGTAGGCGTCAGGTCTTCGAATGTCCCAGTACTCCTTGTCAGTTTTTGTGCAATTTTGTCGCAATCGCTGACCTTATAAGATCTGGTCACGTTGATGGACTGTTAGTCAAAATTCGTGACATTTTTTCCTTCTCCTTTTTGACCATAATAAGCTCACCCGCCGAGTTGAATTTTTCCTTATTCTTTTCTTTTCTTGCCATGGTTGGCTATCACCCCTCTCTCGCACTTTGCCTGCCAATAGACCGATCCCCTTATTATACTGGGTTCGAGCACGAGGGCAACCTCACTCGCGATCAAGCTAGTTTTTGAACGTGACAGCATCTTTGACAGTGTGTTTCAGGTTTGTTTTGGAATGTCTTCTGCTTAGTTCAAGTGGTTTGCGATGGCTTCGAGAGGTGCTGAACCTCCTGCTGGTAGGAGCAGAGTCTCCGAGAGAGACATGGACTGTGATGCAGCTGCAGGATTTTTTCAAGGCGCGGGAGGGAACGATCTCGGGCCACAAACAGGATTTACTCCAGAGGTGAGTTTTTTTGTTGTTGAAATATTCGAATCGCGAATCGTGTTGTGAGACTTATTCTTGTGCCTAGGCTACAGCAGACCGTATTTCCTTCTCCTTGAGATCGGTGCTGGAGATAATAGTAACCTTTTTCTGGTCTGCCTTTTTCTCTCCAGAGCCATCTTATATGAAGGTAACCGTGATGCTGCCAAGTCACCAAGTCGCGATCGCGATCAGCAGCCCTGAAGTGGAAAAATCGATTTTCCAACGATCTGGTTGGACATCAGCCACTAAAGTACTTCTGATTTGCCTGTAGTGACAACAGCAGCCATCCTTGGACACCTTGCAAAGACAGGAAAAGCCACATGGAAGCGACTGCTATGAGGTGACGATAGCAGTGGTGATCGCTGTCTTGTCAAGTCGAAGGGCTAGCCAACCCAGAGGAAGCATTTAAAAAAACGATGAGCAGTGCGTGTTATTTGTTGAGCGTGAAGAGCTAGAGGAGGACAGTGCAAACACATGGAAGGAATGGATGGTGTTTGAAGAACAGTGTGCTGTGTGCCGGCTGGTGGTGATGGTGGTCTATGTCAGCATGTATTCGTGCTGATTCTTGTGCTGGAACACTTCTTGCCCAGGAAGGCAGATTGCGTGCTCCCTGGCCCTCAGTCGGCAATGGGGCATTTGTTCCAGGAACATTACCCCAGAGCCAGTGATGAGTCGTACCTTTGAAAGGTCGAAGCTTGCTGTTAGCGCAGTGGATTGCTCTCTCTTCGAAGTACCAGGGCCAAAGCTTGCCGCTGTCTACAGCAAAGTGGGTGTGCGGTTCTTTCGAACCTATGAATATACCCTCCTCCTCTCTCTCTCTCTCTCTCTCTCTCTTAGGAAGACTGCATGTTCAGAGTGAACTATTTTCTAGTATAAAATGTGAGACGAGCTGTTTCCGCCCAAGATCAAGATAGTTCTTTTTCTGTTTCTATACCTTCCTAATAAAATACATTGTGACAGAGCTTTCGGTCATACTCCGCTGTACTCCATCCTCAATCCGCCACCACCATGCGCTCTTGGCCGAACTAATGCACTAAGCATAAACACACCAGCACAGCAAGGACACTTCCATTGACAGATATTGTTTACGCCTCTAGACAGCTCTTTCGTTTCTTCGAGCTCATCATTAGAGGAGGATAGTAGCAGGATATTAATGATGATATAATATAAGATGATAGACGGTTTATGGTCCGATATCGATGATTGGAGATCTAAGAAAGCAATGACAGTGATTGCGAAATGGATAATATTATCATGATTATATGCCAGTCTGGTAATGTGTTGTACTGGTGGACAGTATTGAAATCATCACTGCATTCGATGCAAATATTGGTATACCTTGTTTTCAGTATTGGGAAAAAAGAGTAAGAGAAGCTGGTTGATTTGGTTGCATCTACGACTGGCTACCGGGTGTTGTGATCAGCAAAGTTACCATGGGAGAAAATAAGAGCGCAAGGATCTGTTGGGTCTTGTTTTGCCGTGCCGGTGCGAGAACCCTAAGTGCATGGCAAAATAGAACTGTTTCATCCACAATGCAGAATGTCTTGCGGTACATGGCATTGATGACTGAACATATCACCAGCTCGCCCAAATGGGGATCATGCCCAAACGGAGGAACAAGACATCTTTCCAGCTCAGCTAGCTATATGCCGTGAAACGGATGATTAACTTGTGCCACGCATGCCAGCTTCTGTTCCATTCGGCCCAGGCTTAGACTGATCAATAGCAGCTGATCCTCCATTACATGCTGATTGGCGATTTACGGCCACCTCCAGCTGTATCCTCCGTCCCTCAGCTTCCGTCTTCGCAGATCTGGCGCGGCGCAGTACATTTTCTCGGATAGACTCAAAGAAGTCCCACAGAGCGGTCCAAACACCTGAAGGCAAACCAGTCAGAAACTGGAGCGGCTCAGAGTCTTTCTTTACGTTATTGTACGTAAGCTGTTTTTCGGCTTTCTTCACCCCAGTCCTCACATCGTCCAACTGCTCCACGAGACTCTGTACACGAGCTCTACTTGCTGTCAGCTCCTGATGCAGATGCTGCACTTCTATTACAGGACCAAACTGCACTAAGCCAGAATCCTTTCCAACGCCAAAGTACCGTTGCCTCTCAGCAAAATACTGGTTTGGGAGCATGGGGAGCTCGTGATGCAGACGCTGCACTTCCATGACCGAACTGCACTAGGCTCAGCAAATACTGTTTTGCGAGCATGGGGAGCAGGGCGTCCAGACTCCACTCTCTTGCGAAAAGCAAACCTGGTACCGTAGGACAGCTGGTTCCTGGACTCATCCTGCCCTTGTAGAGCTGGGCAAAACGATTTCCATTTCGGGATCGAAATGATCGCTGTAACTCAAATATTCAGAGTGACCCTAAAATTTTGTCCTTCCTCACGGGCCATAGCCTGGATCCGCTCGCTCCAGGCCGCTGTGGCGCCACACGAGGAAAGGAGTGAAATTACTTGTTTGCTTCGTCCTCCTGTTCTGACAGTGAGGAAGGCAGCAATGATCCTGAGAAGGCATCCTGAAGTCGAAAAAAGGAAGACGTCTAAACAAAAACAAAACAGCTCAAATCAAAAGTCCTTGTGACATTTTTTGTAGACAGGCTTGCACTGCATGTAGATTTCGCGTGCTCTGCACTTCGCATGCGAGAAATCGCGCACAGCCGAGGTGAGGTTGGTCGCGTGTGTGCATCAGGATCCCACGCGACTGCGGAGTTGCCCCCTTGCTCAAACCCAGACAATAATTAGGAGATCGGTCTATTAGTCATGGACCACGAGTTGAGTGAAATAATTTATTAAAACGTTCCTCTTGTATTATTTTTTATTTATTTTATTTTAAATAATCGACGTGGAGACAACAATTTTATAATAGCAATAAAGAGAACAAATTCTGCTGTCATCGCCAAACTACAACAAAGGCATAAAAGTTTACCAAAAATTAATTTTCTTGTCACATTCATCAGTAGAAAGTCGTGACTGAAGAGTAACCATGCTGAACAATGATTAAAAATACATTCAATAATGTGTTACGAGAACAAAATAAAGTGCTAAAATAGAATGAGGGAGGGTGAGACAATAGAAGTGAAGTGAGAGCCAAGTGCAACGGCGGGTGAGAAACTAATTGTAACGCTAGAACTGTGTAGTGAGACAAACAATAATGCTGTGCACCTACGAAAACAATCTTAATGCAACTACACGTTTCTTCTGCTTACAAAAATCAGGCTTAAGCAAACGAATACAAACAGCCTCAATTACTTTCAGCTGACTACGGATATGCATTTCCAGGTCAGAGACACCGTTATCTAGACAGGTCTTGGATACGGCTAGTATATCCAGCTGCTGTTCTATCATTATACTTTCAACTTCACACAGTTTGTGGCGTAGACTGCGTAATAATTATACTATTTTGATGTGGCCAATGTCACGTGTACTACTGTGCTGGTTCAGGTGGTGGGTGTGTGGGTGAACGGGGCGGCGTGTGGATTAAGCTTCGTGCTGATCCGATTGGCGTGTTGAGCATGCGCGTTTAAGGGGAGTGGGTCGGTGGTTTGAGCCATTCTGCTTTAACGGGCTTGGGAACCCAGGCCTTTGTACCAAATTGCCACTTTCTTACAGTACGGCCAACTTCGTCAGGCCAGAACGATTCTTCCGCGACCTTCTTGGCATCAGTGACCAATACTGTAATACGAGCAGAGGCTGTTCTAAAGTGCACGGAGGTGTACACGACGCTTTGTACTACCGGAAGCGCAGGAGTACCTTTGGCAGCTTGGTTTGGAGTTGACAGAGGGCATGCAAATCGAAACCACGCCCTGTCAACGACCCGTTCCTTCTCAGTTTTAACGACCACTACTCAGCAAAGAACAAAACAACAACGAAGCGCAACGACACACCAACGCTGATGTGGCATCGCAAATCCCGTATCGTGCACGCAGGCACTGGGTTGAAACAGAAGAAAGATGCGCTGCAAGCGTGCCAAGCAGCGAGTGAGTACACAACGCGTACTAATGCTAGTCATGGCAACGGAAGATAAAATTATGGAGATCGATCCACGC